TTCAGGGTAATGACAAGGAAAGGTAGGACCAGACGCCAGGCCTTTCCAAAGACTCCAGTTGGAGCGCCAGAGAGACCTTGAAGCAGCGCAGAGACTCCAGTGTGCTAGTTGCACCACGAGTCGTGCTCACCCCCTTAAGCCCCATCTCTCTTCTAAGCTTCTTCTTAAATCCGCCTTAAACCTTCCCTCCAAGCCCGTCCTGGCCCAGCCCCCCGCGCCTCCCCCCGCCACCACCCCCACCAGCCAAATCGGACCAGTTGTTGGTTTTTGGGAGGCCTCCCTGGCCCACCCCCCCACGCCTCCCCCCGCCACCACCCCCACCAGCCAAATCGGATGGTCGTTTTTAAGGGAGCTCAATTGGTGCACCCTTCGTTGCTCCCACACTTCTCTCATAACCCCCGCCCGCCTCCCTGGCCCACCCCCCCCCCCCCACCACCCCGTCACAAATCGGACCAGAATCAGGCACCCTTCGTTGCTTCCACTGCTCTTTGGTGCCCCCCCCCACATCTCCCTGCCCCCCCGCCCCCTGGCCCACCCCCCCACGCCCCCCCCGCCACCACCCCGTCACCAGCCCACACTGCTCTCTGGCCACCACCCCGTCAGCAGCCAAGTCGGGCCCGCCTCCCTGGCCCTTTTCTTGGGGGTCGGCGGCACGGCGTCAGCCCTTAAATAAGCACCATAATCATATTAAGGAGAGTAATAATCAAACACACAAGAAAAAACAACAGTGGCTTTGAACCCACCTCTTTGCTGGAGTTGGGGAAGTTCTGATGCGGAAGCCGGCTGTCCCACAGGAGCAGCGAGCCAGCGGGGGCACAGACACGAACCACTTCGGCATGAACGGGATCCTGGGAGTTTAGTTTTTTTGAGTTTAGGGTTTAGGGCTTAGGGTTTAAGGTTTAGGGTTTAGGGTTAAAGGTTTAGGGTTATAGGGGAGTGACATGTGGAAGTTTTCCGGTCACGTTTACAGGGTTCTATTAGGGGTTATATGGGATAATGCAAAAGAAAATGGAAGCTACTATTTCGGGTTTAGGGTTTCCCAAAATTAGGGGTACCTTTTTGGAGCGGTCCCTAAAACAAGGATTATGATATGTTGGGATTTATATTGGGGCCTCCCATCTATGGCAGCAACCATGTATATTCTTGGGGCCCTAAGGAAAATTCAAATAGAAAATGACATAGAAACCGTGGGTTCCTTGCAGAAAAGCATAATGATTTTTTATCTCATCGTCATGTGCCTGAGGCTTCTTCACAAGCTAGTTGTGAGTGGGTTGGCCCTCTGCAGAAAGCTTGCGCCGTCAACTACGTGTCTCCAGAATCTCATGCCATCTTTGTCGTACCGCCGCAGAATATTTATTTAGGGTGCAGGGTTTAGGGATGTGTAGGGTTTAGGGAGATATGTGATGAAGCGTGTGCAACATCGCTGCTGACTGGCGAGGGGCTGCGATTTGGGAAACTTGAGTCGGAAAATGCCACGAGCAAGTCAGAAAGTGCCCTACCCTCATAAAGGAAGCTTCCGATAGTATGCGATACGAGTTCTTCAGAGTCCAGCCCACAAGGGCTACAGTAGCGGCTCAGAGTGTCCCTTTTCTCCCGCAAATCTGCAACACCATCTAGGCATAAAGTATCATGAAGTCCAGCAGAAAAGCTGGGGGAGGTTCATGCGAAAGTTTTGCCGTCGGAGGAGCACGGGCAGATTCTAAAAACCCTAAACCCATAAACCCTACACCCACGAAGTTTCCTTCAACGCCCCTCTCTTTTACTGCTGATACCAGCACAGAAGGCCCTTGCTAATGCCAGCGTCTCCCTCTTGCTGTCCTGCGTGTAAAACATTGTGGCTGTCAGTATTGCTAGTCTTACTGTTCTCACTATCATTATTACTACTATATACTAGTTGTGCTATCCTTACGATGATTTCTAGTATTACTATTGATAAAACATGTGGGTAGTTCCCAAAATTAGGGTCCCATTTTGGTACCCCTAAATATTCGGTGCCTATAATCTGTAACCAAAAGGGGCCCATCATTTTGGGAACTACCCATGTGCAAGCTTTGCGGGGGCTCTGAGAGCTGCCAGAAGTTGTAGGGTGCTTGTTTGGCAAGGCCTCTAATTTAGGGTTTAGGGTTTAGGGTTTTGGGGTTTGGGGTTTAGGGTTTAAGGTCAAGGTGCCAGGGCACATCAGATGGCACCGGGAAAGGATTGCCCTGGCCAAATGCGCGTGTGATCTCCTTGCCGTCGACATAGACACTACCTTCCGGATGCCTTAGCTCGGCGGAATCGACCAGAAGATACCGTCCACAATAATAATCTATAAAAATACTACAATAAGAATTACTATAATAACGCTTTAATAAGAATTACTATAATAATGCTAGAATAATACTATATTAAACTATATTATACTGGGCATGTGTGGGAGCTACTTCTCAATAGCGTGGAGCGTACTCACAGTTGTTGTACCCATGGACGCAAAGACAGAAACAAGCGGCTTGGTGTTCAGGAACTTAAACTATGTCACCATGATATGGGTATGTAGTAAATAGTAAGGTTTCCTTGTTATTGTAACTTATTCTATGCCCCTAAGCAGCAACCCAGACAATGTCCAATCCAACTCAGAGACTGCTCGCCCCATTCCTGCACAGGACTTGTCTGGCAGTTGCAAGCTCCATGCAAGTACAAACCTGTTTGCCAAGACCTACTCATCCCATGTAGCACGTTGCCATGGACAACTACATTTGCTGACCCTACTTCCTAATGGGGGCAAGTCAAGAGCCGGCACGCGCTGCACTCAGCTAGCCGCTAGCCAGTTCTACAAGAAACGTCTCACTGAGGAAGTCGCTTACTTGCCCCTGAAAACACGAGTCGGGGCCCTGCACGCTCCATAGATAAACACAGCATACAAAAAGTTGCACACTCAATCAGCCGAGAGATGCTGTTTGATTAAGCAGACTCACAGCCAAGATGTTTGCTTGCTGCAAGTTGTTGGTAGACGGTCGGCCTTCCACCGCTTGTGGAAGCCCGGAGCGCAGAGAAGGCCACCACTTTCGGCGGTCTGCTCCGTGAGGCAGGCAAAGGCCTCAGGGCTTGCTGGATCTGAACCCACGGTTTAGGGTTTAGGGTTTGGGGTTCAGAGTTCAGGGCTCAAGCTCAAGCTACGGCTGTGATGTTGGTACAGCTTTGACCAGGATTCGGGCTTTGCTTGTCTAAGGGCAACATGCTGGATGCCTTCTTGGGGTAGTCTGCCATGCATCATGACATCTACACTTCCGTGGAGGGGGTGCAAGAGCAAGATCCTAAACCCTAAACCCCTAAACTCCTGAACCCCTAAGCCCTAACTAAACCCCTAAACCCTAAACCCCTAAACCCTAAACCCCTAAACCCTAAACCCGCCCAACCCCGCCTGGATCCAACCAAAGCCTGGTTGCGTCCACGGATTTTGGTCCCAGTGCAGCCAATTCCTTTACAGCTTAGGGTTTAATTAGGGGTTTAGGGTTTAGGGGTTTAGGGTTTAGGGGTTTAGGGGTTTAGGGTTTGAGGTTTAGGGTTTAGGGAGCGCAAGTGCTATCTGCTTACCCATCCCTCAGCCTACGGCCTTTCCGCCGGACGCTCTGACACCCCAATATTCTTCCTGTTCCTGTTTTTAATATATAACACTTCTTAGTTTCATACATTGCGTTTTATGCATTGTGGAATGGCCTGCGAAGGAAGTATCCTGACGTGTCGAGGAATTGCGGTAGAATAGGCGAAGACTGGATCAAGAAGCCACAGCCGGCAGTTGAGCCTGCGGAATTTCTCGAAAGAAGTGTCTTTATAAAAAGCCCGATCCAACCCCAAAGCCTAAATCGGTCTTTCGGACGCTTGGCGATAGAACCCAAACCTTTCTGAAACCTTGATTTCAGGCCGAGCAATTTTATCATTCTGTCCAAAATGCTCTAGGGTCCGCCACTCAGGCCGCTCAGCGGTTGGCCTGCCAGCATTTGCGGCTGTATTGGGATGCAGGTTTGCATGCGAGTCTGCTGGATGTCACAACTTTGTTGACGATCCTGGACGGTTCATTGCTTGCAGTACAGGTTTAAGTATTGCATGGGAGCTGTATTCTTGCATCATGCTGCCAAGCACTGCATTGCTCTCCAAGGCTATATTGCTGACATTATTATTGTTGTTATTAGTATGAATATCATTAAAAGAATTCTTTCTATTATTATTATTATTACGTTGGAGGCATTGCGCGGAGATGTCCGATGGTGGACCCAGGATCGCCCTCAAGCGTGGCTTGCGGAAACCAGCGTGGCGAGGTCGGCGGTCCTCATCACACCCCAGCGCGGTGTTCGGCCCAGGAAGACCTCAAAGGCACAGCAGCGCAGAAACCCCAAATTCGCAAGTTTTAGGCTCTTAGCAGCCTCCTCGACTGTGAAGAGCACTCAAAGACCGACGCCCTTCCTTTAAACAAAGACACGGCGCAGCGAACACTAACCCCATGCTGCAGTTCAACAAGAAGTAAGAGAAAGTGATCGGATTGACAAAAACTCGCCATTGTTCTCTAAGCTCTCAGGCGCCGGCAGAGGTGCTCTTCGAGCAGTCAGCGGAAGTCCAAAGCAAGTTCATGACGTGCGCCACTTTCCTTCCAAGGTGTTCTGGTACTATATTGGGGATACATATTGGGATAATGGACAAGAAAATGGAAACTACTATAGTTCATTGGGGTAATATTGGGATAATGGACAAGAAAATGGAAACTACTATAGTTCATTGGGGTAACATTGGGATAATGGACAAGACAATGGAAACTACTATAGTTCATTGGGGTAATATTGGGATAATGGACAAGACAATGGAAACTAGTATAGTTCATGGGGTAATATTGGGATAATGGACAAGAAAAAGCAAACTACTGTAATGGGTTCTATAGGGGTATAATATATTTAAGGCGTTCTAGCGACACTGTATGCCTTTGCCCTCCAAGCACAGCTGTGTACAAAATGCCATCGCTCTGATCAGAGTCCAGTTTCCATAAATAGGGGTACCCCAATATAGACCCCAAAATATTATAATCCTTCTTATAGGTACCCGCAGAGAAGTACCCCTAATCTTGGGAAACCTCAAACCCTAAACTCCACGTAGTCGTTTCCATGTTCTTTTCCATTGTGCCCTTGTATCCCTATACAGCCCCTTAAACGGTACTCCTAATTCTGGGAAACCCCCAAGTATTCCTGGGCAAGGATCGGATTCTCCGCCAGCTCCCAGCAGCATCGATCCTGCAGATGTGCTGGCTCGCGAACGCGTTCCAGAGACATGGGTTAGCTATGTTCGCCTCACCTGCCCGGCAACAATGCGCCCAACATGAACCCTAAATAACAGTAATCACTTTAATGGTAAGGACAGTCGGCAGAAAGGCAGCTCAACAAAAACGCTAAATAACAGTAATCAGTTTAATGGTAAGAGTAGTAATGGTAGTAATAATAATAGTATTAGTAGGAACACTAGCAATAATAGAAATAGTTGCAATAGCCTTGGGCCACAGGAAACTGGGACGGCCTGGCTGCGGAGTGCCAGAATGGCCCTAAACCCTAAACCCTTAGGGTTTAGGGTTTAGGGTTTAGGGGGTTTAGGGTTTAGGGGGCTTAGGGTTTAGGGAAACCCTAAACCCTAAATAGTAGTTTCCACTTTATTTTCCACTATCCCAATATGACCCCTATATAACCCGTAGATAAACCCTAAACCTACACGGCCCTAGGCCCTGAGGGCTGCGGGATGCACCGCTATGATGATTTTCTGTGAAATCGCTGCAGAAGGCAGCAACAGTCATGTTGGAATAATGGAAAATAAAATGGAAACTCCTATTTGGGGTTTAGGGTTTAGGGTTCAGGGTTTAGGAGTATTCTTGGCGCCCTGAAGCATGGACTCCTGGAAGGGGTTCAAAGACTCCAGGAAGTTCTTGCCACCATTCCTCTGATGCTGCGAGATCTCTGGTCACACAGAATCTTCTCAGCTATTCCTAGGATTGCCAGTCAAGGGTTCAGTTATCAGACACAACCAATACAGAGCTACTTACTGAAATAGGGGCTCCCTTTGCAGGCCCTAAGCCCTAAACCCTAAACCCTAACCTTACACCAAAACCTTGAACCCAACGCCTTGAACCCGAAGCCCTACACTCTATTCCCTAAACCCTATTTGGGGGTTCCCAAAATCAGGGGTGAAAGTAGGGTTGAGGGTTTATGGGTTTAGGGTTTAGGGTTTCCCAAAATTTGGGGCGGGCCCCTATAAAAAGGATTATGGTATATTAGGGTCCATGCTGGGGTCCCTTTCTTTAGGGAAACTACCAATTTTTCTTGAGAATGCGCAGATTCTGCTGTGGCCACCCGAAGCTCTCCGACCAGCTTGCCGGATCCTACAGGTAGAGTTTACGGTTTAGGGTTGAGGGTTTCGGGTTCGATCATATTCGATCTCTCATGTTTATAGGAGGATTTTCGGGGTTATATAGGGATGATGGAAAAGAAAATGAAAACTACTATAATGCGTTACATAGGGATTATATAGGGTATATATTTGGATTGTATAGGGGATATATAGGGATAATGGAAAGGAAAATGGAAACTACTATTTAGGGCTTAGGGTATCTCATTCCATCTCTCACCCTTAAGGATCCAAATAGCCCAACGTAGCTAATATTTACAGACTTTAGAGCCCAATGTAGGTACTACCTGTATCTGTGTGCTTGGATCCCTATATAGCCCCTTCATAGCCCCAGCTTCCATTGCATTTTCCATTTTCTTATCCATTTGATTTTCCATTATTGGTATTATGTGTACTATACGTATACTTGGGTCCAAAGGGTCATAGTTGATTGCATGTAGAAGCTTCCGAAACTTTGGGCTCCCTTTTTAAGGCGGGCACGAAACGTAGAGATTCCAACACTTTGGTGACCCAACAGGTTTAGGGTTTAGGGATCTTGTACCTATATGGTGGTCCCCCCTCAAGACGGCTCGAGGACTCGTTATCTTAAGACTTATTACCCTATATGGTGGTTTCCCCAAATTAGGGTACCCCAATATAGACCCCAACATACTATAGTCCTTATTATGGGGACCCCCTAAACAAGTACCCCTACTTTCGGGACAACCCCATATACCCCCCAAGGTCGAAATCCATCAGATGGCACCAGACGCGTTGCGAACCTCCACAACCGAAAGTAGCCACAAGCTTGGAGCGCAAGGCACTGTTGGAAACCAAAACTTCCCCCTAAACGCTAAACCCTAAACCCACGTCTCACAAATCACATACTGCTGTCAGCCTGCCCAAGGGAAGATACTTATCTCTCTAAGGTACGTCACTTAGTAGTTTCCATGTTATTTCTTGCATTATCCCAATATAACCCCAATATACTATAGTAGTTTCCATCTTCTTTTCCATTATCCCAATATGAGCTATAGTCTAAACTCCTAGTATCCCCCTTAATATCCCCTAAAGTAGTCCCCTATATAACCCCCTTTTTAAGGAGTTTAGACTATGGCTCATATGACCCCAATGTAATATAGTCAAGAAATGGCACGAGACTCCCCCACGGCCTCTCGCCGGATGTCGGGGCTTCGCGCAAGTAGCTGCGGGCTGGTCCACAGCTCCTCAATGGAACCTGCAAGGACTTTACAGCTATTGGGATAATGGAAAAGAAAATGGAAACTACCATTTAGGGTTTATATAGGGATTATATAGGGGTTATATAGGGGATATATTGGGATAATGGAAAAGAAAATGGAAACTACCATTTA